TAGAAAGAATTTATACTAAAAATTGTAACAACTCCCTCTGATGAAATCAGAAAAGTTTCAGAACAAAAATTTTGGAGTAAAAACTCAGAGGAGATACTAGTACACTGAATTAGGGTAAGAGTAAGTTCTTTCAACTTCATGGTGCATTCCAGTTACTCAATTACTTCACCCAAAGTGTAGCTTGGTCAAATAATAAGCAAAGAAAAAAGAAATGCTCAAGGAAATACTAGATAAACATGACAGAATGCACTCTCAAGTGGTGCAACTTTTCTGCACCAGTGATACCCATGAAAATACTATAGGCCAGTTTTCCAAGTGAGTATTTCCTCACATACTGCAGTTTCTGAAGGAGTGTGTAGAGCACAAGAATAAGAAATAATTTTCTTCTGCCTTTAGAGAACTGATATATTGGTATCAGGGAATCAAGAGATCACCTAGCAGATAAAGGATTCTGCTAGAAGAATAAATTAGGCTAATTTTAAAGTTCACAGCAATATTTACTGGACTAACATTCATTAACACAATTGGTTAATTAGAGTTGGTTCCTACACCTTGCTAACCATTGCCACTATGTATTAATTTTTACGTATCATCAACCAATAGCACAGATTCCAAGTGAACAATCCTTAACAGCTCTATTCTACCTGAGCTGGGAGTACCACAGTGCAGACACCTCCCCTTCAGTGCTGATGGCTTGTTCATGGTGTTCTCATGGGTCAGGTGTGAGAACTCCGGATGCAAGGAGCCAGAGCTGAAGCAGGTGCCTCTTTTCTCTGTGTGTTATGTCCTGTCCCCCCCCCCCCCCCCGTTTGGAATTTTACCCTTTTATAATCTCTGTACAATTTCCAGCCCTCCACCCTGTGGAGTGGGGGTTGTTTTCCCAGGCTGTTGCAGGCACCTCATTCAGGTGTTGGGCTGCCTTTTATTTTGCTTTGCTGCTGCTTCCATTCTAAAAACAAAAGCAGTCTGTTCCCAGCTCTCAAGGTTGTGCTTTGTGAAAGACTAGTCACTTACCATCAGAAAGTTGTTTTTGCTGCCATGGCCTCTACTTTCAACTTGTGCCTGTGTTTTCAAGGCCTTTGTTACATCCCACACTTAAGCTGGACCTCATAACAAGAGGCAGCTGGTATCAAGCTCCAGTTCACACAACAAGCTTTCATTAACACGTTGATAACAAGTCCAGTGGGCCTCATAGCTAAAGGCCAGGGCCTTTTATTAGCACTAAGTACTTTTACAGGACTGCTGGGCACAAAAAGGCACATACAGATGCAGTGTCACTGCTTGAATGCCCGGGTTCTGAACGAGCTGATTAAATCGGCTTAGTAGCTTCTATCGTTGGAGCAACAGCACTTCACTTCAACTACTGTGAGGTGCAAGGTGGGAATAGCTCCGCCTGGTGTGCCAAAAAGTACCCGATTTTACTACTCACTGTTTTATTTACTAGTGCATCATGAAACGCTTCTGAGTACAGTGTAGTTCAGTAACAGTTTAGGATCTTCTGAGAACAGACAAATGAAGTAAATGCCTAAGTACAGTGGTGATGGTGAAGCCTCCATCATGAAAGAAGTATAACAATATATTAACATAGGGCTTATGATTTGCTTCCATAAGAAGCTGTTAGGTCATTATCTCCTATTTTTCAAAAGCATGGTGGGAAGCCTACTGCTGTAGAGAAAACCAAACTACGCTGCCAAAAGAGCCACTCTAAGTTGCAGTAGTCATGCTTTCTTCAACAGTGGCAGATTAAACTTCACAGATACAAGAAAGATGGAGAGAGTCTATTTCTCATGTAGTGACAGGAGAAGGGGGAATGGTTTTAAACTGAGAGTAGTTTTAGATTAGGTGTTAGAAAAAAATTCCTTCCTGTGAGGGTGGTGAGGCACTGGAACAGGTTGCCCAGAGAAACTGTGGATGCCCCATCCCTGGAAGTGTTCCAGGCCAGGCTGGATGAAGCTCTAAGCAACGTGATCTAGCAGAAGGTTCCCTGTTCATGGCAGGGGGGTTGGAACTAGATGATCTTGAAGGTCCTTTCCAACCCAAGCCATTCTATGATTCAACATTCTTGGATCTCTCATTACAAGATTCTTTACCCCAGTGAAGCAAAGCTTCAAGCTCTTGGCTTAGAACTTTCCAACTTTCTTTTCTCTTATTAAACGTGCAAATTCCTAATTTCAGATGATGCTTTTCACCTATACCTGTTTTGATCCATTTTGTAATCAATTAAAGATAACCATAGGTTAGAAATAACTATTTATTATGAATAGAACATAAAAACATTTATGTCTGATCAAAGATAATTCTCTAGAAAACAAGGAAAAGTGCATTGTAGTGTATGACATTGCTTAAGCTTGTGTAATACATGTTTTTAGAGTAAATATTAATAATCTTCAAAGATCTTGTTGAATATCATTCAGTGCACGCGCAAGTAGTTGTATTTTATTTTCCATGGCTTTTTTATTGTTTGCCATTTCCTGCAGAAGCTCCCGCATTTCTTCTTCAACAGAGTAAACCTGAAAGAGCACACAGAGATCAAATAAATTTTTTGCTTTTCTTAATACACCTAAACTCATAAAATCTTGGCAATTTTTAACACTTACAAGCAATGCAAGAGTTATGTGCTTATGTTTAAATATGCAGTGCACTACTCTTGACGTTGGATGCAGTAGCAGAATTTTGCTTTAAAAAAAATATTAACCTGCTAGGAGATAGCAAGAATGCATGAAAACCATAAAACTTATTATGGAGAAAAAGCACCAGTTGTCATGCCAAGGAAGAATGCAGTATACGACAGGAACAGTAACTGTTAACATAGGCACAGGTGAGTTAAAAGGATTACCTGGCTTAATCATCATTACTCTTGCTTGTATAGATAAGGAAGTGTTATATTCGTAACAGCTACAAAGCATGGAGCTTTACTTTGCTGGAATACTAGTTCTAGAGATTTTCTTGCTGTGCAAAGATTGAGTACCAAGCCAGGGCTGTTTCCATTCAGAGATCAGACTGATAGATACAAACAGACTTCCAACCACCACTGTTGTAGTGGCTGTAGAATAAAAACGCAAATACAATAAACATATGCATTTAGTATTAAAATTACCTTTTCATTTGCTGCTTCAATTTGTTTTTCCTTTTCATTTGCCAGCTGCAGTAGTTCTTCCTGATGTGCTGCCAACATTGACTCAAGTTTTTTTCTAAAAGCATTATCCATTTCATGAAGCTTTTCCACAGCAATCCTAAAAATGATTAAAAAAAGAGATCATGCTCCTGCAAACAACTGAAGTATTTTGTTTTGTCCAGTTCTGCCTTTGATAAGGTTTTAATAACATAGGCACAAAGACACTTCTATCAATATCAGCATTAGAAGATGTCCTGTTTTCTCAAGTACGTGTTCTGGTTTTATGCACTGTGTTCAGGGCTTCTGGCATTCCTCTTAGCAGAAGCATTTAATCACTAGCAAGGACTATGAAGATTCGGGCTTGCTACTGTCAATATAGATAAGAACTTCACATGTTTTCAAATATCTACTTTTATGCTTTTGCTTCCCAAGAAGTGAATGACTGAACTGTGTGATCCTGTAAATGGCGTTTGACCCTGTCTGACAGCAACAGAAAAGTGTCTGCTTCACAGTAGTGAAGCATTTTCTTGACTCAAGCAAATTTTAGGGGATAACTCTAAAATATGTAGGAACAAAAAGCAAGGCAAATTTTTCTACTATACAATTAATTTACAATAAACATTTGAAACAATCCAAAATTATTTGGGAAAAAAGCTCAGTTCCACTATTGATTGTCTAACAATTCCAAAACCATTATTCCAAAACAATTATTGATTATTTGAGGAGGTTGGTTTTGGTTGGGTTTTTTTTGTTTATTTGTTTGTTGTTTGTTTTGGTTGGGTTTTTTTTTGTTTATTTGTTTGTTGTTTGTTTTTGTTTGTTTTTTAATCAAACTTGACCATCAAGCTATTTCCTTTCATTTATTAATCAGATAACCTTCCTTAAAATAGCAACTAATGTATAATGAGTCAGTGTTTAACTTAAAATGTAAAGCAAAAAACCTTAGTCATAGCTATTCCTTTGGTAACATGGTTATTGCTGCTAGATAAATATAATAAATATGTAGTCTTATTAACTAGCTGGTATTTTCTCAAGAATAGTTGGGAGGAAGGAAGAAAAACATGAGAAGGAAGCCAAAGAATAAAGAAAAAAATCATACTGAGAATCTAAGCTTATCACAGGCAGCAGTCTAGCACACTTCTCCATAATACCAGAAACATATGAAATAATTTTTTGGGTTATGAGTACTTGTTTCTGCATCATCTCATATTTAACTATTGATCAAAAAAAATTGACCATACATGAGGAACAAGAAAATAAATTAAAAATCTGTTGCTACTTGTACGCAAAGAGAATGACAGGTAACTTAGAAACAGTCCATTTGACATGGACTGGAATACTAATTAACAGCCAGCAAGTTAGGCAGGAATGTTGATCTGATGGAGGGCAGAAAGGCTCTTCAGAGGGATCGGTACAGGTTGGACTGAGGGCCAAGGCAAACGGTATGAGGTTAAACAATGCCAAGTGCCAGATCCTGCACTTGGGACACAACAACCCCAGGCAGCACTACAGGACTGGGGCAGAGTGGCTGGAAAGCTGCCCATCAGAAAAGGACCTGGGAGTGCTGGTCAACAGTGGCTGAACACAAGCCAGGAGGGTGCCCAGGTGGCCAAGAAGGCCAACGGCATCCTGGCCTGTATCAAAAATAGTGTGGCCAGCAGGACTGGGACAGTGATTGTGCCGCTGTACTCAGCACTGGTGAGGTCACTTCAAGAAAGACATTGAGGTGCTGGAGCATGTCCAGAGAAGGGCAACAGAGTGGGTGAAGGGTATGGAGCAGAAGTTTCATGAGAAGCAGCTGAGCTGGGGTTGTTTAGCCTAGAGAAGGGGAGGCCTGGGGGGGACCTCAATGTTCTCTACAACTACCTAAGGGAGGGTAACAAGTGACAGGATGAGAGAAAATGGCCTCATGTTGTGCCAGGGGAGGTTTAGATTAGAATTGGGAAAAATTTGTTTACTGAAAAGGTTGTCAAGCATTGGAACAGACTGTCCAGGGAAGTAGCTGATTTCACCATCCCTGGAGGAATTTGAAAGAGTTGTAAATGTGGCAATTAGGGAGATGGTTCAGTGGTGGACTTGACAGTGCTGGGTTAATGATTGGATTTGATGGATCTTAAACATCTTTTCCATCCTAAATAATTCTATGATTTATTAATATTGTTGTGGTAAGTATTGAGGATCTGTCCTCCATTTCGTACACAGTGAATGATGTATTTTTACTTTATCCTGCACAGAAATTAGTGAAAGCACTGTGGCCTCCCTTGTACACCAGCCACCATTGCTTGGCTCGATCTCTGATTTGCAATCAATTTGTTCCATGCATCCTGGTCATGAGCTAGAGGGTTGGCAGGCTCATGCTCAAAGAAACTCTGATACAGACTGTGCCTCACACGCACAAACATCTTCACTGTACAACTCCAGCCAGCACTTGTGATCGCTGTAGAAGAGTCTCTGTTATGTAAGTGACATGGAGTTTACTCACAAGGTAAATCAAAAGCATTGGGATGGAATGGGTATAGTAGGGAGGAACGAGTGTAGGCTCCAGTCATTATCAAAGAAAATGGAAACAGAACTAATAAGTTTAAATGACGAATGCTGTAAGTGAATGCCAGCTCCACAAAGTACATCATCTGTATAGTGAGAATTCCTTCTAGGCACACAGAGTTTGTAACTGGGCTCACAAATACTTAGAAAGGTATTATGCATTCTTCTGCCATATAATCAAACCTTTTTGTATACGTATTAACAGTGAAACTCTACAGTAACTGAGTAGTCACAAGATAAACTATTAAGGTATTCACCTTTGAGTTTGAAGACTTTTATTTCTCTCTTCAATCAGCTTCTTCTCTTTGATATCAAAGTTTTCCTTCATTTGTTTAACCTGCACCTCCAGCTGGCTTAAGAGCTCTCCTTTACCTTGCCACCTCTTTTTCAATGCGCTGAAAATAAAATGCACGTATTTACAATGACTATAAATACCACTTCTTAGGAGGGCAGAAAAAACTTCCATTTTTCCTCATTTCTGTGGGTTTTAATAGCAAGCAAATACTCTCTGAACATAGAATAACTTCAGAGCAGTGTTGCATACAATGATCCCAAAGAATTATTGTGACTTGTCTGTATCACCTGTGTGCATGCCTAATGTCATCAAGTTCTACTTCTTTTTCTTCTAGCAGTTGCTTTAATTCCTCTTTTCTTTCATTCTGCCTTTCTAATTTTTGCATTAGCTTTTCACATTCAGCAGCTTTTTCATCCAACTCTACTTCAAACAATTTCTGAGCTTCACGATTTTCTTCATGCTGTTTTCTGATTTGTTTATCTTTTTCTTTTAAGCCCTTTAGAAGATAAATATTTTAGTACACATAAACACTCAACTTTATTGTTACAATTTAAGAGTATTTGTTTAGTCTATGGTGGAATAAAGCAGAGAAGGACATGTGAAAGTTTACTCTTCTGAATGTATGAAAAACACTTAGTAAGGTGATAGCCAGCTGATCAATCTTCATCTGAAAAAAGTCAGAGTAAAAAAAAAAACCCACCAAAACAAATCTGAAGTTGAAAGCAAGTTAAGAAAAAAGCTATTTTGAACTCTTATTCTACAGTTGAATAAACAACTTATTCTTTTGAACAACCTATTCTACACAGTCCCTGAGTTCACAATCTGTAACGAGTAATGCATCTAACTTTGACTGACATAACATGCTATAAATTTTGATTAATAAGCTAAAGTTTTAAGTCTCTTAATGAATGAATGGAATTAATAGAACAAAACATAGTACCTCTGCTGCCAAAATATTGATTTAAAAGAACAGAATAAAGAAAAAACATTTACCTGTTGTAAAATAAACATGAAGCAAACATTTAAAATTGTTTTTCCTTTTTCAGGAAGAATTATACTATCTGGGTTTCACCTCTCTCAAAATCATTTTCAAGAATAATTTGAAGCAAGGCAAAGAGAATAAAGTCTGTACATAAATATGGTTCAATGAGAGATTCAAAGTACCACTTCTGTACATGAACATGAATTTAAAAAAAAACTCTCTTCTGCTCTCAGTGAAATGAATTGCCACTGACAGCCTGATTGTGATTTGTGAGTTGGTAAACAAGAACTGCAGGACCAGCTTTCATTACAGCCTTTACAATTGCTAAAATTAAGACTTGCAGTGAAAGTTAAGTACAAAAATTGTCAGATATGGCACTTACTTCTTTCAATCTCCTAATTGTTTCTGTCTGATCATCCAGTATTTTGTTTTTAATTCTTATGGTATCACTGTCCTGTTCCTTTTGCTTTTTTAACATCTCAATCTCATTTGTCAGAACTTCAATTTTAGCTTCCAGTTTTCCCCGATCTTGAGCAAGATGAGCTCCTAGACGAAACAGGATATTCATACTACAGTGCTCGTTTTACAGATGACTTCAAGATGTAGAATGTTGGGAAACGGGGTGGAGGTGAAGGTAAGAACCACCTTACAAACCAAACCATTGACTATTTTGTCCATTGGAAACACTGTAGGGATTTAATCTGTAGGTAGGTAACACTTAGGTAGCAAGTGTAGAACTGAAGGTCTCTGTTTTATCCTTTGAAAACTTCTCTGAAAAAAGTCAGCAGTAGTTCTTACAGATCTAGCCAATCTCAAGAGCCCACAAGGTGGTGCTGAGTCACATGAATAGAGAAAAATGAAAAATGCCCAAGTTTTTCTTCCCCCCTTCAGTATTTTATAATTTTTTAAGATACATACTGAAATTTTCACATTAGACTTATCTGATAGAAAAGTAGCATTATATAACTCTATTTACAAATCTTTGTTTTCCTAGTTTCATATTTAAAAGCTCTTTGTATAACACTGTGGTATTTTGATATTTTCAGGAAATAGATAAGCTGTATTCGCAACCAACTCCCACAACTGCTGTTACAGATCCCACATGCCACAGAACATCTGTTTTTGCACACCAACTCTACAACTAGATAAGAGCCAGAAACCTTGTCATGATTACAACTCTACTGGAGTGTTTATTTGAGAGGTAAGACACTGAGCACCACCATTTTTTCTGCAAAAGAAAAAATCCCTCCAAAACTATTTTACCCTGTTGTGCCAGCTCCTGTCCCCATATTTTTCTTTCCATTTTTAACCCATCAATCACAGATTCCTGGGCTGTCAGCTGAGAAGTAAGTTTTCCATTTTCCTTTTTTAGAAGTTCAACTTGAATGGCCTTCTGTTTGTCCTCCTCAGTCACAGTTTCAAGTTCTCGAGTTCGACACTGTATGAATGAACATTGGAAAAAGACAATAAGATCCTTTAAAACAAGTATTCAAAATTTCAAATCAATACTAATTGATTTCCTGGTTAGGAAAGTAATACTTATATACAGCAAATTAACTGAGAAATATTCTGCTTGCATTCAGGGTTCTATATGCTTTTCTTTCCAGTTATGAAACTCAAATTTGCTTCAAGTAGACATACTTCAATCCCAGAAAACTGTAAAGCTGATTTCTAGATAACTACCCTAAATTATCAATGCCATTATAAAAACCTATTTAGAATCACAAATTCACAGGTAAAAAAACCAAAGAGAAAGTAAAGATATTAAAAACCAAATCATAAGGAAACAGACAGAACTGGGATGAATTTTCACTTCCAATGATACTTATCTTCAATTATGCAGTCTACATTTTGTTTTACAGATTACAGCTATTTAATATAGGTATTTTTCAATCTTGTTCTTAGCAGCATCACTGACTGGCAGAATCCTATTCTGTATACCAACACAATGTTTGGACACCCCAACAGCAACATGGAGGGAGGAGACTAGAAACAACTGTGCAGCAGTTGTACTGCACCCAAGAGGGACTGGATACGTACATGGACTGAATCATACATCCATTTAAAAGTCATGTTCCTGAGATTTTTAAAAATTATTTATGGCTAGTTGAATAGTACTAGAATACGTTACCACAATGCAACTGTGCCCACAGTATTTAACATTAAAATCTGACAATTAGTAGATAATGAATAATACTGCTAATGTTATGCAACTAGGAGATATTAAGCTGCTAATAACTACACTGGATTATCTGTTCAATTTAATTTTTACTTCATGTACAGTGACCAATGCAGAAGCATATTCCATTCCTTTGAATTTACAAGGGGTCAGGGTTACTAATGTAGGTTTTGTAGTTTTTACTGACCATCTGATTATATACAAACTGCCAGTGCTCCCAAGGCAAGGAGTGCACGTTTGAAAACACGACTAGTCCTCTTCCATATGGGGAGCAAGCAGCATTTGTTGAGAAATAGAAGTGCAAGATGCAAGAATAATGGCTGATGTGGAGTACTAGGTTTTAAAGCGACAGGAAATGTGTCTTTCAGTCAGTCAACCTTTTATGGAATCATTAACTTTTATGGATGAAATATTAAAAAAAATATATATGTAGTTGAAGTGTTTTGAAACAAGTACCTTTAGGTTTGCTGTAGCTTCTTCATTTGATTTTTTTAATTCTGCAATCTTTGCTTTCTGTTCTTCTACCATACTTGTCAGGTCTTGGATCAGACTTGCCATATCTTTTTCCCTTTGTTCAGACTCAAAGAGGACTCGCTTATGTTTAACTAGATCAGCAGAAACATTTTCAAAACCCTCTTTTACCTAAAGTTTTGTAAGACAAGACTTGAAAAATGCTAACATTTGGAAAAAGTGTGTATACATAAACACAAGTGACATTTAAGTTCCAAGTGAAAAAAATAGAAATTTATCAACTGTATATCAAATTAGTGAATATTTGAAACTGGTTTTTTATTGGTTTTGTTGGTAATACTTCAACTTGAAACTGGTTCTGCCCAGCTCCATATTTGTAAAAAACCCAACAAAACAAAGCAAACACAAACAAAAAACCCAAGCCAAACCAACCAACCAATCAACCCCCCCCCAAAAAAAAACAATACAAAAAACACGAGTGGATGGGAAGCAGAGCTTGGGAACTGAAAACATTGCCTTGATTTAATTTCACTGTTAAGATTGACATTAAAATCTTGAAAGAAGGAGTTAAAGTAAATTCAATCTTTTTTTTTCCCCAGCAGAAAGATTTGAAGGGTAAAATATAAAATAACCTAAATACTAGCCAAAGAAATAAGTTCTCCAAGGAGTTTAGTAAACAAGTTTTGAATTCTGAGTTTCAAAATGCATACCAAAATTCAATTTTGAAAAGTTAAACAATAAAGTACTTCATTATTAAATACACTAGTATATATGTAACTATAACCTTATCAAAACACATGCATTTTTACTATAATTGAATATATTCTAATAGAATGTTGACATACTTTAAAAGAAATTAATAACACCAGACAGAAGTGTTTTATTCTCCTTTCTTTTGATTAACTTCTACGTATGAACAAAAATGCTACGTTTTTTGAGTGCTGACTTGGCATTCGCTGTTGATGCTCTAATCATTGATATTTCAAAGCCTACTATCAGTATTTTTGCATGAATGCTTGACCATAAGGATCAAAAAAAAACCCCAACCCAACAAAACACCAATAACCGAAACACCCCCAAAATATGTGCCAAAACCCAACACACTTAAGAGAACTACAACCCCACCTAATGTGAGATTAAATGTTCTCTCAGTCTTACCTCTTTAAACCTTTTTGCTTCAACAGTTAGAGCTAAACGAAATTCATCTTCTAACTCTCTGTACTTCTGGTAGGACATGTTAATTTTCTCCTGAAATTCTTTAACACACTGTTCATGCCTCTGCTCCTCTTTAGCCACTTCTTTTGACAAAGCATCTTGAAATTCAGGTCCATTTAAAGCAACTCGGGTTTCAAGTTCTTTCCTGAAGTTACCAAACATACACTTGAGACATAAACTGCAGTATCTTGCAATGCCGTTTCAATTCACTTCCTTGGTATTACTGAACAAGAATAATGAATTTCATAATAAATGGGATAAATTCCTTAGTCTCAGACAGATTTCAGTCTTCTGTGACAATGACACTGCCATGAGGAAAATTCTGTTGACTAGTGTTAAAACACCCAAAGAAATATCCTTATTCTTTAATTCAAACTTTTGTAGAAATTACTAAATTGCCCTTTTGCTTTTAGTTAGCATTTATTAGCTTTGCTGTCAACAAACATCTGGAAGTGACACTGGAATCAGAGAAAAGCCCTGTACAGCCAGACACCCTCTTTTGCAGTCATTCTCTTCACCCTCACCCAACCAACAACTGTTGCTTCTCACTCAAGACTCAGAACCCAAAAAGCAGCAGCAATGGGGACCTAAAAGGAGAATAGCAAGAGTACCCTGTACTTTCAGGCTCTTCTGTTCATCTGCTTTAAAGCAAAAAAACTGTCCTTCACATTACATCTTTTGGAGATTTATAATTATTGGAAGTTCTCAAAACACAGCTATCAGATTCTTCCATCTAAACTTGCAGCTATCTTGGTATCTGAATACATTTGCCCATGTAAAATTTAGCAAATTTAACCAGCTTATTTTATTAGTAACCTTTCTCACATATTACTGTACCACAGGGTACTTAAGTGCTTTAGTTTGTACACATATTTGATTGTATTAGATGACAGTAAAGAACGTACACTCAAGTATTCTCCAAAAAAAGGGAAATCTTGGAAGAAGAAATCAGCCAGGAAGTAACTCACCCCCACACCCACAAGCAGGATACTGCAGAAGCTGACTTATTTTTTTGAATACTTTGTGTTATTGTAGTATATATAACTCCTCAGACAGTAATTCAGATACAATTTTATTTTTATCTGATCTTTCCTGGATTACAGATCAAGTATTTCAAATAAAGAGTTCAGCCATATAATAAGACAAGAACCTATCAAATGGAAGTTGCTTACATGAACTTATGAGTCAGGAATCTATGAGATATGAAGGTATTCTTAAACAAGCAAGAAAATGTGAGGGAAGACATTTACATTTTTACGAAGACCAGCTCTCACATTACTTAAAAAACAAACAAACAAACAAACCACAAAATAAATCCAAACTAAAACACATCCATACTTTAGAACACATTTAAACACAGTATATTTACAACACTAGCATCTCTATTAACTTTTGAAAAGAAAATAGATGACCCAATACCTTCGCTCTTGCTCTCTTAATATGAGAAGTTCATGTAGTTGTTTTACCTTCTCCTTCTGCTGTCGGAAGGATATTCGAAGTAACTGTACTTCTCTTTCATTTGCTGATGCTTTAAGCTCTGCCTCTTGTACTTGTTTCATCTGTGTGGAATTCATAAAGACAAGAACAAGATTTTTTTAAAACTGTAATCTAGTCTTCATGTCTTATCCTGGAATACAAAGGAACAGGTGCTTTATAAGTTTTGTTGTTTGTTTCTTATTGGTTGTGTTTCTATTTTGTTTTTTTCTTAATACATTTTGTTTCACTTGACGAAATTTAAGACAAATGTTTAAGTCTTAGCTTAACTTACTACAACACAAAAAAAGCAATTTTCATGAAGAAACAAAGGCATTTACCTAACTTATAAAGAACTTGAAAGTGTCCTGCAGAAGTGGAAGAAATGCATTGGCAGAATGATTTTCTCAATTATAAACTCTCATATTGTAATACTTGTATTAGTTTAAAAAAAAACATTTTTAGATGTATTCAACATAACCTTTTTTTTTAGCACTCCACTTATATAAACCGCTTTTTGATTTGTACAGTTTAGAGTTGCTGAACAGAGCTGCTTCCTAATGATTTTACAAAAAATGAAGAATCTGTAAACTTCAGATGGCATACTCCACTTTTTCCATTTGATCCAAGCTTTTCTGAGTAATTACATTTCATAAGCTTAAGCCTTTTATATACAAAGCTCTCTTTCCCTGATTCAATAAGGAGGGAAAAAAAGAATATGAAAAAGAAAAGTTACAAAAAAGGTCTTGAATTACTCATGAAGTGGTAATTCAAAATCAGGACACTTCAGAAGGCTAAGTTCTCATGTTCTACATGTCAAGCCTTTTCCTGAGTAATATTTAGACACACCCCACTGTATTCTT